ACCGACATTAGGGTCATCGGGATTCTGGACCGAACTAGGGTTAACATCTTGCAAGAGAAGAGGTATCAAGTCTGCTACATACGAGGAGATCCCGTCTAAACAGGACCTTGAGAGCTGCTGGGTAGGCCATGATGGTGGTCTGTAAACTCAGACGGCCTTCGTCTGGCCACTCTTGGTGGAAAGCAGGCAAGGGCGTCCGATTAAGGGCGGCGGCATAGATAAGTAATATAGTTGGCCCTACTCCGTACAGATCCTGTTTATTCTGGGAAAAGGCCCCTGCCTCCACACAGTCGCGGATTCCATGGTGTGTAAATCACGAGCAAGAAACCCGTCGGACCTGTCACTCAAAGGTGTCAAGTGAAAACTACTACTGGCCCGCACAAGCTGAAGCATGCGCTAGTGCTGTCTGACAGGGCTGTCATTGGACGACCAAGAAATCCAAATGTTTGGAATGTGCGAGTGTTTATCGTGGATTTTGAATCAGCCATCACCAATCATGGTTCGCTTATGCGCCCTGCCCTGGGCGAGGACCACTGTACAGAAGTACTAAAATGCGATTCCGGGCACTTAACAATTAAGCGACTAATAGACTGTAGGTTTGATCCACTTGCCGTCGGGCACGGTGCGTGGACGGCGCTGGAACGCGGACGCAATCAATCTGGGTTATGGAGCAGTTGCACACAGCATGTCAACCGGAAGCCAGGGGTCGAGAAATTTCACTTGCGAACCAGATCAAGCATTCGGTTCGGGACCCATGGAGGCATGGACACTGGACAATCCAAAAGTGCAAGTCGAGGCCAATGATAGTTTGCAAACACCCCCTATTGCGGAACGCGCATGAGATCGGCTGCAGGAAGGCTACCACAGTCGCTAATCTTCACTAGTGCCCATAGGCGTGAGGGCAGGCTACCCAATAGACGATGGGTCCCGCCGATCAGCGATATCACAGCTCCGTCTCGCCCTCAAGCCTCCGCAAGGGATGTCTAGGCTCCTTCCTTTTCAGCCAAAGGTCTCGGCCGGACAGCGGAGGGCCACGTTGAAGTTGCACTGAGACACGCAGTAGGTTTTCAGATCAGATATTGAAACAGTAAAAGCCACTTCCATCTGGGGAAGAGAACGGACGTATCCTGTTCCTGGCGCACCATCGCATTCGGAAGACAGCTTGTGGACAAAAAGACCGAGAGAGCTCCCGGGAATCCGCCGAGCGCCCTAAAACCTGCTAACCATGGATCATCTTAGTGCCATCTGCATGACCAGATCTTCCCCTCACCCAACACGATTGATCAGTAATTAGGATGCTTCGTAGTCCCGGTGCTATTGAGGTGTTAGCCCCGGTGTATGCCAAATCATTTCCAGTCCCACTGCATGAAACCAACGTCAGTTGAGCCGTCCTGCTGTCAAATGTCAAGTTCTGCACTGACTGGCTAATGCACAGATGCCGTGTTCAAACTTTGGTTCACCGTGCAATTAGACTGGGTACTGCCGCATGGTTGACCGACAAAGGTTATGCCTTGTAACCTCATAAAAGCATAGTCTCTCCGCAGGATTCTAGCTACTGTTTGTCTTTAGTGGCTGGCGCAGGATCCCTGCACGGAGCAGGGAGACTGGAGACATGGAGAGCAATTTCCAAGCTGGCCATCCAAGCTGACAGCCATCTTCCAACTATTCCGTACCGTCCTTCCGATCGTCCACTGTCGATCATAGCCCTGCGGGGCAATAGATACTCAGCTCTGTGTCCCCGTTGAATAACGGAACACTTTTATCAGCAAGATTTTGCGCGGAAAAATTTAGGTACACATGGCCGGGAATGAGGGGATGTAGGATGACTGGAAGGAGAGGGAAACAAGGGGAAGTTGGAAGTTGGCCCAAACGGGGCATCGGGGAGGAGGTGCCTTCACGCGTCGGGGATCCGATGACTTGGCTTTTGTCAATGAACCCCAACACACAAAGAGTAACACTCTTCAAATACAGACACGCACAATGCCTTGTTCAGTTACATCGATCACCCCGAGTCCCTTTTCGAACAGAAACTCTTACGCTGCAGCGCTATCCATCTATACAGTACTGGACTAGAAGATACCCAGCACAATTACAGGTAGGTTCAATACCATGGAAATAGCTCGGTTTGTCAGTACTACCTACACGAAGTAGACTTGTTTCTTGCCAGGCTGCGACAATTTTTTCTCGACGCTAGTTGCACTGAATTCCTCCGATGCCCGCGGAATGCACGTTCATTTACGGGATTTGATCGACCCATTAAGGCCATCAAACTTGCAACACGGGACGTTCCTTAGGGAGAGTAACTGGTTGGGTGATGCGCTCGGTTCTAAAAAAGCAATAAGCAACAATTGCATCATTACAGATGCGGCTTCTTGAGCAGCCGAAATTCGTGCATACACGAAGGTCTGGCCTCGCAGACAACTCTGTACGCGCGCTTTGCAGATTTCCTACGCGTCGTACTTCCTCTTCGATGGTTTCACAAAATGTTCCCAACATAGAGGTATTTGCTGGTGTTACAGCATGAAGTCCACACCAACCGTCTCTTTCCACGCGGTATTGGGGAGGTATCCCTTGCGTGTGCCAGCACAGCAGAGCCAGGTGTGGTTGGGAGTAACTATGCTAAGCTTTTGGTGGCTTAATGGCTTGAGCTGATACCACTGTGTAGTCAGAGACATTTTCACCACAGGTTACCCTCATCAGAGTGTATATGCCTACAGCCCCGCACGATGCCAGCTGAACTTTCGACAAGCTGTCATACCCATGGTCTAAAAGGTTCATCGAGTCTGTGATAGCATTTACTCCGCAACCTGAGTCTTCTTTGCAGCCCTAATGGGTTTACACCAGCTCACTAAGTACCTATATCCCATCTTTATTTAAACGTCCACCAAAGCCTATCTCGTCGGATGCCAAAGAGAATACCCTCTTCGTATGTAGACGAGACCAAATGGGCAAACAGGCCGCAATACAAGCTGCAGGACAGGGGCAGTCAGCAATGAAACTCAGGTCACTAGGAGCATGGACCCGTGATGTCTGGTTGCATCACATTGCAGTTAACAAAGAGGCCACATTAACGGCTTTTTCGACATTATTGCCCCTTCGCACCCTACAGGTTCAAGCAACAAGACTGTTCCAAGCCGCAGGAAGCATCTGCTAAGGCAGATAGCCTGACCGCGATAGCTGGGCCCTTGCGGCTGTAGCCTTAGTCCTCGCTGCCACGAGTGGTTATGTGATTCTCACCATTATTTCCCACAACAGAGCCGAAGCCTGATTGATCTTCTCTGTCAAATGCCCTCCCATAGCTCAACATTATCATACACAAGCTGCTATTCCGGCTCGCTCAGTTACTTAGACAGTGGGAAGGAACATAACAGCGTCTACTCGAATTAATGTCTTTGACTCTGCCAGGGGAGTACCTGGTCTCTGACCAATTTCCGTCACCATCTTCGCCTCGTATATAAGACCAAGTGTCTAAGTATTTCTGACGGCTCTGCTGTGTCCTAAGGCTTAGCTGCACCTCTAGCAGTTGCCTTCAACCCTTTTATTCAGCATCCGTCCCCGGACCTTGCTTCTAGGCAACCCGTCACGGTGTAATGAGACTAGGTCAATGCATGCGACCGTTCGTGCACAATGCTAGCAGTGCTCCATCTGTAGAATGCAGTGTCCTGCATCGAAACCGAACCAGAGCATTGTCAGGCCATTGTGTGTCCCCGTCTCGAAAGCCACTGTGTACAGTATTCTTTTCAGCATTGATTTCTCGGCATTCAATTCAGTGCTTGATATTCTTGTTCCACGACTAACTGTGTGTGAGACAGCATAGCTATTTCGGTCATTGGTACTGGATAGAGGCTGCAGTATCCAGAATATAATACCAATCTTGGTGAGAAGGGGCACCGTTTTCTAGTATCGGTGAAACCATACTTAACACCATTATCGCCTTCCCATTGATTTGCCGCGTTCTCGCTTAATTTCACAACAGCTAGTCAGAGGCTACGTGCGGGATCGTATTGAGCACATCGATTATACGCGCTTCATCGGGCCAAAAAGAGTATAGAGAGTCATCCTAGGCGAATTCAGTTATACTACTGTACCAAGGGTTCGAGCGTCCCATTGGTTAATACCGGTCAATAGAGCATGTGGTTCATCTATAATTACAGAGCCTATCTACTGAGTTCATGAATGTCGCAGCAGGTAAGTTCAGTTTCTCGAGATCGCTGCAGGATTTATATATGACATCACCGAATAGATAATGATATTTGCACTAAATTTAGCAGACAACATAGGGGTGAACTCAGCTCATCAGGTTCTTCATCACTTCCTGGGCAATGAGATTAGATTATTTAAGGGCAATGATACGTAGTTCTGTCATCATACAGCATGGACTTTTGCGTGGGTCACGTCGGAGAAGCATAAGATGGAGACCGATTAAAGCTCAGCAAGAAGCGCTCCTGCAATTAATCAACTGAGCCTCAGCTTCAACTTTATGAATGCGCTTGATATCGTACACCTAGATTACTTTCCTGCTTGGCATCTTAGTAAGAGATGAAAGTTTGTCTCATCCTGTCAAAATCAGACTGGGTGCAGACTCAGTAAGCGTGTTATAATTGTAAGAATGTGAGCAATTTCTAGTAAACTTAGCATGCTGGAGCTTCAGCTTGAAGTGTCCGAAAGATGTTGATGTTCAATATGAGGTTGTGCATCAGACTGTTACTATATATATATATATACTTAGTGCAGAACCATGTAAAATGAATGATGATGAAGACGCATGGTACTATATGAGCTTTGTAGGAAAGCAATGTCAACTGTCACTAGCTCAATAGATAGATATGTAAAGTGGGCAATAACTTATTGAGGCTAAACGTTTACAAGATCCAAATCTAAATATCCATTTTACCTGCGCCGATGATATCGATCCGATATCGCATAGGCGGTGAATCGCGGCAGTATATACTTCAATGGAGGCGTGCCGATAACCAATGTCGCGACAGCTCCTGTTGAACTTACGCATGAGCCGTGTCTGTCGTGGCTAGTCATCCGCGAGAATGTCTCTTCTCGATAATGAAGAAGACGAGCATTCTGGTTACTTGCGAAACAATTCAGAATCACCGTCGGTGATATCTTCAGTCGAACCCAAGCAACCATTCCCGCCGCTCCCCGCCGATGACCTTGCGACAACCACACTGAGCTCGCAAAATGAGGACTACATCGAAGAAGATGACCATGATCCGACCTCACCCTCACACGCGGATATTGATGCAGAAGACGATGCCGACTTTCAATCACAATATTCCTTAGAGGACCAAGCTTTTTCGGATGCCTCCACGGACTCGGAGGAGCAGTCACCAGAAGATGGTCTTTCTATGCATCACCCATTTCGCCAGTCCACCAGCTCACTTCAAGGGCCGAATGCCTTTGCTCCGCCCTTCTACAATCGACCCCCTACGCCGCTTCCCCCGTCTCCATCATTGACCTCCCTTCTCCGACCGCCGTTCTCCACGACCACTTCTCGTCCTACCACCCCTGACAGCTCGGACGTGGAAACACCGAATGATACAGAGGCTGCTGTTGCGAAATCCGCCCGTCGCGCAACGACTGTTCCAAGAGCCAGTCCGAAGGTGCCGACATATGAATACTATGGATTCGTCCTATATCTTGCCTCCTCTTTAGCCTTCTGTAAGTCGGCACCCAGCGCGCACTCTTGCTAGAGACATGCTAACACTTACTGACCCGCAGTGATCTACATCCTTTGGTCCTACCTACCCTCCCCGTTCCTACACCAGCTTGGAATATACTATTACCCGAATCGGTGGTGGTCGTTAGCGTTTCCCTCATGGCTGGTCATGTCCATCATCTACATATATGTTGCCCTGGCATCATACAACACGGGGTACCTGACGCTACCGATGAATAGCATGGAGAATATCGTGGATGAGGTGGCCAATGTGGCCGTCATTGATGGCAAGGGCAGGCGACGACCCGGTGGAGCTGCGAAGATGAGACCTGGCGCGACATCGTATCAAATTATGGGGCCGCAGAACCGAAAGGTCAACTGGAAAGAGATATGGAGCGAAGGGACGGATGCTGTGCTGGATGTGCCAGTCGGTGGAGTCTGCGAAGTTCTTTACGGACAGGAGCGCGATGATGATGAGTTGTTTGAAGAGACGCCTAATATTTTATAGACCATAATCTTTTTTCAATTTCCAGATAGACTTTATCATGTGAATACATACAACCACTGTATCTGGATGATACCATGAATCGGATCCGTTATCCCCTGATCGGCATCTTATCTCCACGTGATGTGATGAGTGCAAGAGAGAGAGAGAGAGAGGTCTTGTAGTAAATGACACCAAGGGAATTGACTTCGTGACCACGTTAACAAAAAAAATCTCCCGTAGACAACACAGCAGAGGCACCAAAAGAAGGTTTCGGTATGTGGGCTGAATGAACAATTGCCCACAAGGCTCATGACAAGTGCCGTGCCACCCTGGCAGCATTCCGCCCGGCAATGGCTGGTTGAAACAAAAAGAAAAAGAAAAATAGAAAACCATAAAAATAGCGACACGTTGTGCTTACATGGCCCATCTACTAAGTTAAGGAAGTACTCAATCTGCCAGGCTAAAATCCAATTCGAGACCCGTCATTCCATCCTGATTGGTGGTTTAGACGGGATTGAGTGCCTGAGGTATTGAACTGGACGGAGTACTGTTGGATCTATCTATTATCATCTACTTAGCTGTTCAGCGCTACTAACTACTACTAACTAGTTACTAAGAAGTAAGTACTAAGCTGGAGTGGAGGTTGTCGTCAGGTACATGCGACAACCGGGACCTGATTAATTACTTTTCCCTCTCAACCTCAGATTTGCAATCTGTATGATACAAGGGTGAGAGAAAATCCATGCACGCCTTCATCTCTCACTGAAATGAAGTGAATGTGCAAGGCTATGCACTGACCCTGACCGCATCTTAGAAAGTGAAGAAGAGAGTAAAGTAAAATTGGGGGTTGGGAAGGCCAGCTCGCCCAGCGCTAAAAGCGGTTACGGCCGCGTGGGCGCCTAACAGAGCCAACGAAAGCTCAGCGGCGGCGGTGGCTTTCCCCGACCTCAACTGCGAGGAGGGAACGCGCACCCAGTCACTCCGATCGTCTCGGGGGCTCAAGCTTGCATCGCTGACCGTCTCCTTTCCCTCCCCTGCACGCTCCATTTCCGAGACCCAAAAAAACAAACGGGTCCTTTATTGCCCTCTAGAAAATTTATTCCCATTGTTTGTTTTTCCTCCCCTCGGCGTTGACACGGCCTGGAACTTCGCTTCCTGCCGTTGTCGCCCCGTTCCCTCCACCTGTGGGCTTACACGGAAGACAAACACTCGGCTGCGATTCAGAAGATCACCACACCTCGCCCTTTTCCATTGGGAAACAGCGCCTTCCTGATCCTACCTCTGGCGACCTCGTGAGCTACGCTGCTCGGTCGCTACGAATTCCACTCCTTTCATCCTCTCCCATTGTCGATTTTGCATGGCTTGGCAGTCTCCCTCGGCCATGGCTGGGGGCGGAGGGTACGTCGGCCCCGGGGGTGATGGGTCTTCTAACGGCGGGCATCCCCAGGGGACGGAGTACACCCTGCAAGGTGGGTACCGAGTGATAGATCTCGACGGTCGTGGAGAGAGGCTAATTGCTTTTTCGGTTCGTTTCTAGGTGTGATGCGCTTTCTGCAGACGGAGTGGCACCGCCACGAGCGTGACCGCAATGCCTGGGAGATCGAACGCGCGGAGATGAAGTCTCGCATCGGAAAGCTGGAGGGTGATGTTCGTACGAGTAAACGGTTACATGAATCATTGGGGAAGCACGTCAGGTTGCTCGAGGCCGCCTTGAAGAAGGAGCGCGAGAAGGTCAGGAAGCTCAGCAACAACGAGAAGGTTGAGGACACTAGGGATCCGAAAGAGATTGCCAAGGAAAGCATCAACTCTCTGAAAGGTGAGTCCATTATTGGTTTACGGAGTGGTGATGTTGTCGTATCGGTGTACTGATTGCTGTCTAGCCCAACGCCCCAAGCCTCATACGGGACCCAGCGAAGTCGATGTGAACCTTGAGAACGAACACGAATATCGCCAAGAGAACGAGCGGGAGAAGTCGCGATTGTACCTTTCGAAGTGCTCTCAGGAAGTTGCTTATCATGTCATTCCTTCGTCACACCCTCCTCCGGAACTCGGCGAGCAGGATCTCCCAAATCACATCTACGGCAACCAACAGCTGTCTCAGCAGAGCCTGGAGGAGGCATACCTCCAGCAGCAACGCCAGAAACAGCACCACCAGCAGCAGCAAGCACAAGCGAACGATGTGATGGCGCGAGAGGTGGCGCTTCAGAACCACCAGCCCGTCATCACACACTACGCAGATAACGCGGCCATGTCCCGCGCAGCACAAAATCAGTTTGGTTTCCCACCTGCGACCAGGGAAGCGATGGAGAGACGACCCCTCGAGCCACAACAAACCCCGCTTACCGCGATCGATAATAGAAAGCAGTCTCTCGGCAACTCGCTGATGGATGAGCGCGCCGGTCAGGGGGACCAGGCATATGATGGATATGGCTCACAATCGGCGGCCAAGGATGCCAAGCAACAGCGAATGGAAGAGCAAGGTGATGATGCAGATGGCTGGAACTTCGACGAGCCGGCCGAACCAGCACCGCAGGCGGAACAGGTACCACCGCACCGGCCTGATGTGGATGCTTTCCCGAATGCAAACTTTGTCAGTTCCAAGTCGCCGCAGCGGTCCGGATCTCTCTCGCATCGGCGGAAAAGTTCCGGCGCCAGAAGGAAGAGTGATGGTGCCGTTGACCTTGCGGCGGGCCCCAAGCCAGATCCGACCTTCAAGGTTCGGTTCGCCCTGCGCGGCCATTTGGATGTCGTCCGTTCGGTGATTTTCACGGGCGGCGGAAGCCCTTCGGAGCCGGAAATTTGTACATGCAGTGATGATGGAACGATCAAACGATGGATTATACCCGCCACTTATGGCACCTTTGGCGCAAGCTCGAGTGACCTGGACATTACCAGCTATTTCACTCACCGTGGACATGTGGGGGCTGTGACTGCGCTTGCGGCATGCTCTCCGCAGAACTTCTCCAATGGAGGCCGTGCGCTCGGGGACGGCTGGGTTTTCTCAGGTGGACAAGATACCAGCGTCCGAGTGTGGGAACGTGGACGAGTTGACCCGAAGGCGACTCTTGATGGCCACACGGACGCTGTCTGGGGTCTCTGTGTTCTACCTGGGACCGCAGGCTCTGTGTTAGGCGAGTCCAGCAGCCATTACGGTGGCCCCGATCGTATCCTACTCGCATCCGGTGGTGCGGACGGCCGTATCATCATATGGGCTGTTAGTGCGCCCCCGCAGCTTTCTTCCCCTCAAGCAGGGTCTCGACGCGCTGGTGGTAGCCGGAGAGCCAACTCGATCTCTTCCGGCTCCAACTTCCCCTCGTCACCGCAACCCAGCACGGCGACTACCACGCCATTCCACTACAGTATGGTTCGCCAGATTGTTCGGACCGAGTCTCCCTCCCCAACGTGCATTAGCCCGTTGTCGCTTGCAGGTATCAATTTTGTTGTGTCCTACACCGACGCCTCCATCCTTGTGTATGATACAAGGACTGGCGAGGAAATTGTGGGCATGGCGAGTCTGGAGACATACGATGGCACGCCTTCGACTGGCGTTAACTCTGTTGTCGCCACTACAGTCGGATTTGATGGTTCGGCAGGACTTGACCCCAGTCGGACAATGGGCGAAGAAGAGGTCGTCCATGGTGCGACTGGCTCCAGTGGTGTCGAAGGCGTAATCATTAGTGGATACGAAGACCGCTACATTCGCTTCTTCGATGCTAACAGCGGTATGTTTCACCAAGCTTCCTTTAGCTATTTGGTATACTAATAATCTGATGTTTAGGCCAATGCACATACACGATGTTGGCCCATCCATCGGCGATTGCCTCGCTTTCGCTATCCCCAGATGGACGTGAGCTAGTCTCTGCGGGTCATGACGCCAGCTTGCGGTTCTGGAACCTCGAGAAGCGGAGCTGCACTCAAGAAATCACGAGTCACCGGTTGATGCGTGGTGAAGGAGTGTGTGCCGCCGTCTGGAGCCGCGATGGCCGCTGGGTCGTCAGTGGAGGTGGTGATGGGGTTGTCAAGGTGTTCTCGAGATAGCGAGACCCCTTTGCTGATGTATGTTTCTTTCTTTCGACAGCTGATTCTTCCTTTTCCTACGGCATGTTCTTCGCACGCATGAGATGGATGAGCGCTTGGCCGATTCTCGAGCATTTGCAACGGTGTCAATCTACCTGGCATATGTTCCTTTCTACTCCTGTGGTTATAGTTTCTTTACTCTTCTACCCTTTTATTGACAATCAGCTGCTTTGCTCGCCCAGCCCTGCCTGATGGTACGAGCTTATGTTTTTCATACCTCTTTTTTTATTTCCTTAGCCCTGTCCTTGACTCACATACCCCACGCGGATTCGAAGGGGGGATATAATGTGTGCTTTTATACTCCGTGACGTTCAACCGCTGTCTACCACACGTCTGCAAGGTGTCTTTATAACACGACATTTTCGATACCAGTGAATTTCTTGGTGTGTTTCCATATGAATAGGATTTGCGGACCGTGTGGTCGCCTTTCTTGAATGTCTTGATATCCCTGGTCCCCAGTACACGGGGGTTGCTGTGGATGAACGCTGTATGATGATCTCCTTGCCCTGTCCTTTAGAGCCTTTCGCACCAGCCTGTACATTGCCTGATTTCTGCCCCAATTATTCTCGAACCCGTTTGCGAACTAGGGTACCTAAGCTTGAAGTTATAGATGTATTCCAAGTCGCTGAGCATTGGTCTACCCTTAACCTGTACAATATTCCACTCCACATATTCCACGCCAATGCAATCTCACACATAACAAAGTCACGCCACACATCCAAATCAATGTCAAATAATTCCATGACAAGGTATCATATTACATACAATACACACCTACCCACCATTAAGCACTGCACGCTCCCAACACATAAACCTAAATGATAATATTAAATAACAAACTCATTGCTTCTCCCAAGCCCCCTTAAACACCCCCCTCAACCTCCTCGCCTCCTCACTATCCTTCAACCTCTGCTCCAAGAACCCCTGCAAATCATCCCAAAACGCCTCCGTCCTCAACACCTCCTCCCCACTCGGCCCAACCGCCGCCTTAGGCACACCACCAGCAGCAGCAGCAGCAGTGGCAGCAGCATTCCCATCTCCCTCACCACCCTCCACAACCTTCGCCCCTCCCATAATCATCACCCCAAACTCCACCTCCTTGCCTCCCGCCAACATCTCCGGCTCATCAGCCAACAACTCCGCAATGGTCTTCCCCGTCACCGGCTTCCGCTTATACAGAATCTTGATTTTCTCCAATGACACCTTTCCGTCCTGTGCGTCAACCACCCGTTCCTGAACTGCGTCTTTGAGATCCTGCACTGAGGTCGTGGTGATGGGTGCGTTGGGCAAGGTGAATTCGAATGCGGGGTTGCGCGCGCTCTTCACGTGTACGGTTATGGATTTCGAGGAGCCCGGGGCTTGCGTCCGTTGCACTTTCTTGGGCATTTCGGGGTGCGGGGCGCTGAGGCGGGGGAGGAGGTACTGTTTGTTTTTATTGTTAGATTTAGGGGTTATGGGGGACCGAGTGGGAGGGTATAGGGAAGAAGGGAGGGGGTCCAGGATGGGATGGACGTACAGGGACGCGAGGTCCGACTCGCTCTTCGTCCAGAACATAGTCTGCTCGGAGCTTGATGGGGCGGGAGTCGAGCGATGAGAGGAAGGATTTGATGAAGGCGACTTCGGACATTTTGATGACTTTCTTTGCTGTTCGTGGGTGAGGTAGGTTGTATGTAGAGCGAGAGAAAGTGTATAGGTGGAGTAGATGAGATAGAGACAGTCAATATGGATGCGGCATGTGGTACTGCCATTACCCAATTGGGCGGTAGCTGAAGCCCATCCACTTTGACTGGATTACATGCCTCAGGCATTAAATAACAAAACACACCGCCTTGCGGGACTCTTTCTGCCGCGGCCAACCGCCCGCAGAAAAAAAAGTAACGAAAGAAAAAAGTTTGGATTCTCCGCTTCAGACTCCAGTTGTTCAACTTTCACCACCCTTTTTCCATTCACAATTTCACTATGGGTGTCGGTCGTCGTATGAAAAAGCAGGGCCCTCCGGCCCCGCTGGATGAGTCTAAGATCACCATTTACAAGAAGCGCAAGGCTGGTGAGCCCGAGTCGAAGCCCGAGACGGGAAAGAAGCGGAGAAGATCTGATGCCGATGAGGAGAAGGTCGCGAAGCCCGCTGGCAAGAAGAAGGCCAATGGCGCTGTTAATGGCAAGGCGACCAAGGCTGAGGTTAAGCCTAAGGCTGAATCCAAGCCCAAGGCTAAGGCCGTCGAGAAGAAGCCGCAGTTCATGGATTCCGACGATGAGGACGACGATGAGGAAATGTCTGGTATTGAGGAAATGGATGCCGATGAGTTCGACGATCTGGACGGCATCAGCGATGGCTCGATGGATAGCCAGGAGGAGGACAACGACTCGTTCGTCGATTCCGACGATGATGACCACCCTCGCGAAACCATGTTCTCCGACGACGACGACCTCTCCGACGCTGAAGAGAAGCTGACCGCCGCCAACATCGAGGGTTTGTCGCGCAAGCTGGACCTGCAGAGACAGGAGGAGGAGGAAGAGGCCGAGCGCGAAATGAAGGAATCCGCCATGCAGACCAACATCGCCGGTGACCGTCCCGATGTGTTTGGCGACGCCGAGGGCACTCAGCCCGGCCTGGCTCCCGATCTTCAGCTGCTCCGTACCAGAATCACCGACACTATCCGTATCCTGGGTGATTTGAAGACCCTCGGTGCCCCCGGCAAGTCTCGTACCGATTACACCGAGCTGCTCATCGCCGACATCTGCACCTACTACGGCTACACCCCCTACCTCGCCGAGAAGCTCTTCAACCTCTTCACCCCCATGGAAGCCTTCGCCTTCTTCGAAGCCAACGAAACCCCCCGTCCCGTCGTCATCCGTACAAACACCCTCCGCACCAACCGTCGTTCCCTCGCCCAGGCGCTCATCAACCGTGGTGTCGTGCTAGAGCCCGTCGGCAAGTGGTCCAAGGTCGGTCTCCAGGTCTTCGAATCCGCCGTTCCCCTTGGTGCCACCCCCGAATACCTGGCCGGTCACTACATCATCCAAGCCGCCTCTTCCTTCCTCCCCGTCATGGCCCTCGCCCCGCAACCCAACGAGCGTGTTCTCGATATGGCCTCCGCCCCCGGTGGTAAGACCACCTACATCTCCGCCCTGATGCGCAACACCGGCTGCGTCATTGCCAACGATGCCAGCAAGCCCCGTGCCAAGGGTCTGATCGGTAACATCCACCGTCTGGGCTGCAAGAACACCATCGTGACCAACATGGACGCCCGCACCGCCTTCCCCAAGGCCATGGGCGGGTTTGACCGTGTCCTCCTCGATGCCCCCTGCACCGGTACCGGTGTCATTTCCAAGGACCCGGGCGTCAAGACCTCCAAGAACGAGCGCGACTTCCTCGCCATCCCCCACATGCAGCGCCAGCTTCTCCTGGCCGCCATCGACTCCGTCGACCACTCCTCCAAGACCGGCGGCTACATCGTCTACTCCACCTGCAGTGTCACCGTCGAAGAGAACGAAGCCGTGGTGCAGTACGTCCTGCGTAAGCGCCCCAACGTCAAGCTCGTCGACACCGGCCTCGGCGACTTCGGTAGCCCCGGTATGACCAGCTACATGGGCAAGCACTTCGACCCCAAGATGACCCTCACGAGACGCTACTTCCCCCACCGCGAGAACGTCGACGGTTTCTTCGTCTGCAAGCTCAAGAAGACCGCCGCCTCCCCTACCCCCAAGCCTGGCGATGCCGCTGCCGCTACTTCTACCGAAGGCACCTCCGCCAAGAAGTCCAAGACCCCCTCTGTCGCCTCCACCACCACCGATGACGACGAACCCATCGACAAGACCCCCATCACCGACGAAGACGGCATGGTCATCGAAACCGAAGGCGGCAGCTTCGGTCCCTTCGAAGAGGACGAGGAAGACACTGCCCGTATCGCCCGCGCCGAGCGCAACCGTCTCCGTCGTAAGGGTCTGAACCCTAAGGCTGTTCTGAACAAGCCCGCCAAGACCAAGTCCAAGGACGAGTCCTCCGACTCTCCCGCTGCCGAGAAGAAGACCGAGGAAAAGAAGGAGAAGGAGACCCCCAAGAAGGAATCAAAGGAAGAGAAGCCCAAGCCCAAGCCCAAGACCGAGTCCTCCAAGCCCGCCAAAACCAAGACAGACACAGAACCCTCCACCACGACAAAGAAGCAGCAACAAAAACCCACCACCACCACCACTGCGCAAGAACCCACAGAGAAGAAGACGAAGAAGATCGCCAAGAAGACAAGCAAGAAATGAGTAACCAAATAAGTAACCCATTTTCTGCTTGCTCTCTTGATTGACTCTTCACTTCCCCTTCTTGTAATCTAACTCATGAGGTGACTCTTGTTGTTGTTGATGTTCATGGTTTGACATAAAAAAGCATTTATTTGTCTTGTCTTGTCTTGTCTTGTCTTGTCTTGTCTTGTCTTGTTGGTCTGTATGGGTGGCGCATGCATATGTTTCTCTCTATATTTCTCTTTTCTTTTTTTTTTATTTTGGTATGATGATGATGATGGTGGTAGATAGATAAATAGCTTCGTTCTACTTGGGCTGGGTGAATGAGTGAGTGAGTCGAGTCGAGTCAATAGATACCATTATTTTCTTCTTCTTTTATTTTGTTCATTCATGGTTGCTCAGTAGGATTGGATTGTAGTATGATTTTGGGTAGTGTAGATGGGTGGTAAGTAGGTAGGGATTACTAGGTTGTGTGCATTGGGGTAGGAATAGGGATGGGGTAGGGTTCATTGAGGCGATATTTGTACTAGTACTAGTAGTTGGGATGATGCCCTACTAGTAGCCGAAATATCGCTTTGATTATGGTGCTTTGGCTACAATATATTTACTGTGGGCCAGAAAGGTTGAACTGCAAATTCTTCAGATTGCTTAACTTTATGAAACTAAAACAAGTTGTATAATCAAGTCTAAACTCCAACTCTGCTGACAATATCGTGTCTAATATCAACCAAACCAATCACTCCGGTCTTTGCAACATCCTGGGTATGATGAATTCTTCAATGCAATACGAACTGAAACCAAATGCAGGGGGGAGGCCGCGTGTTTCTAATTCCCCATTTGCCCTGCAACAAAGTTCGGATGAGGGCAGGCAGCCCGGGCTCACTATGTGCGGTAGATCTTAACCACACTGACGATGTTCTTCCGGCAGATAGGACAGAGATCGACCTGGCGAGCGCAGGTCACGCAGGCACAAACATGCCCACAGTCATAAAACAAGGCGTCTTGTTCTTCCCCGTAACAGATCTGACACAGATCCATTTCTTCATCGGCTACCTCCCAGTAGCTGATGCCCTTGCCGTGACGTTTGCCGTCCTTGTACCCGCCGACATACTTGTTGCCTGTCTTGCGCTCCACGTACGTGCCCTGTCCGTGACAAATGCCGTCGAACCAGTCACCGTCGTACGTGTCACCGGTCGGATACTCCATAAAGCCGGTTCCATGGCGCTTGCCTAGCACGAAATCTCCGACGTAGGTTGCGGCAAGGTCAGAGATGTGCTTGCCCTTGCCGTGGAAGTGACCCTTATTGAACTCCCCACTGTAGTAGTCGTTCGTGAACGATGCATCAATGGTCTTGAAGCCAGTGAAGGCACGCGTGGGGTGGTTGCGAGAATCAGCCCACAGATAGCGGACTAGCTGATCGGGATTGCCGAAAAGTCCGGCCACGTTGAGCTGCAATCGTCTATAGAGGTAGGGGTTAGTCTGGGTGTAATGACACGATCATAAGGTTGCGCTTACCTGTCCTTGTTCAACTTGTCACCCACAATGAAGCAGGTACCGTCGGGAACATAAACCTCGAATGTCTCGCCCGAAGCCATGGTAGTCACGGTGGTTCCATCCACACGTTGCCAGATCTGGAAATCCTTCATTGGCGGGATCTTGAGATGTCTCCGGACGGCATTCTTGATGTTCTCTTCCTTCTTCGAGAAGAAGGATCCCACTGTGCGCAAGGCCTGCGCTTCCACATCGAACCTTTGGATGAAGTAGTACACGTGGTCTACTGGCTGGGGGACCTCCGGCTCGATTGACGGAGCAGGAATGTCCGCAGCTGTGCTAGCCTGAGTCTCAGGCTCAGCTGGTACCGCTTGACTAGGCTCCTGAGTGACCGGGGGAGCAGCTGCATCAGGGACTCGGTCGGTATCCATCTGCTGGAGATCTTCCGCGATAATGGCAGCAATCACTGCATCGTTCTCGGAGTCTCCAGTAGTAGGCGCCCCCGTGCCGCTCGAGTCCGTAGGCACAGGATCCTGAGGGACAATTTCGATGTGTGAAACATTCACAGCGTTGGTGATTGTCGCACCCCCAGTTGCACTGATGCGGTTCTCCGGTACAGTTCCCGATGAGCTCGCGCGGGCAGCTTCACCTTCGGGAAGAGGCAATCCATCTTCCGAGGATTCTGAACCGGCGCGTTCCACCACAGCTTCCTCAGGCTTGGCCTGAATCGAAATCGCCTGTGGTGGATCCGCTATGGCGAAAAACTTGGCGTTCTCTGCGGTGCATTAGTATCTTGTATAATACGTGGAGGAAAAAGGGACATACCATCAGAGACGACCTGCATCCAGAAACGGACCGTCTTCAGCGGAAAGTCCAAGGTGCTCGTCAGGTCGGAGATACGAGCAAATGCAAGGGTAGGCCCGAACTGGTCACGAGTGTGACCGATCTGCCACAGCCGGACATGCTCGGCACAAGTGCTCTCGCTAGACTTGGCAGATGCCCACATGGCAATCTTCTTTCGGAGATCAACATAGTTGGACGAGCGGGGCACAGTCAGATACATGACACCGTTTTCCGACTTGGCCTGTGACATCAAATCATACGTATCGAACAAGCTGCCCAATTGATCGTACTTCGGCAGCGAGTAGACCTCCACGTTGATCTCATCCTTGTCGCACTTGTCATCCAATTGCACCGGAGGGATGCCCGTTTCATAGTACTCTTTCAGACTCGCGGGCACGTCCCATGGACCTTGCGGGCCAGGCAAGAACTCCTGGACGACATCACTGCGGATGTACATCACGGCAATGGCAACATCATGGCCGGTCTTGTGGTCCACCTTCTGGGAGGCGTCCAGGCCGAGGTGAGGGCCCAAGGCGGTCTTCCGAGTCAGGCATTCGACACGGTTATCACTGCCATCATCGAAAGCAAGCCACCTGGTTCCAGGGCCTCCCGGTCGCAGAATGCTGAAGAATTTGCCAGACGTACGCCGGCCACGGTGAACGATGTAGCCATAGAGGACGTATTTGCCTTCCTGGCCATCCAGCAGCCATGGCGTCAAGTCCAGCTCCTCATCCAGATCAACTCGGTTGTAAAGCAAACGCCATTGCCGAGCAGCCTTGTCCAACTTCTGACGACCCAACTCCAAGTGAAGCACCGGGGGAAGTACCCAGCGTCCGGGCTTGGCACTCAAGTACCAGCTGAAGGCTTCACTGGTGGTCTCGACCTGGTCAGCCGGCACACAGATTCGGGAGTTGTAGTCCTTCGGGACAGTATTGATCACGTCCTGAGCCTGCGCTTCGCTGGGAAGCGACTCGATGGCCGGGCTGTCGAACAGCCTGGCCAATTCCTGCCCCGCGTCTGTGCCTGCTAGTTCGATTTCGAGCGTGCGGCGTAAGCGTTCCCAGAACTCGCACACATCGCCGGAGTATTCGTGCAGGTTACGCAAGGTCGAGGTGATCATGTCCGTATCCACATACTGCAGCGATTGGCCCCGGGAGCGCAGTTGCCACAGGAACTTTTGTAGTGCATCGCAGAGCGGCTTCGGCTTGACATCGCAGCTGGTCAGATGCTCCAAGACATTGGCCTTCTGGATGATCTTGCAGAAAGGCGCCAGATGCACCCAGGTAGCCAGCCCAGCCACGTCGGCACTGTGATTGATGACGGAGTCACCCAACGGCCGATAGCCCGTGAGACTCAGGCTGTCCCACGTCGGCTCGGTGTCACTGGCATGCCACCAGAGGGAGCGGGTGGGGTCGTCGACAATGCGGATATACGCATCGAACGCCAGGGTATCGTTGCGGAGAAGCGCCTGACGCTGGCCTCGCTGGCGGCGGTGGATCTGGTCCCAGGGACCGTGGAAGTTGGTCCAGCCCCAGTCCAGGTTGTGGGGGTTGAACTGATGGCACGAGGACTGCATCCAGCCCGTCCGCGGCTCCTCGGGGTTATACAGAATGACGCCAATTTGAGCCGAAACCCGCCAGGACTTGGTGCCGGTTGATTCTGCCTGATGAGCGGCAGCGGGGTACTGGGCCTTGAAAGCCTCCAACCAACTTGCGGAATCGTTGGTCTGAGCGAACTTCATGTCGACGTCCGGTGCATTGACATCCAGGGCTGCATCAGCCGGGCCGTGCATCACCTTGAACTCGGTCTCGGGCAGAGTCTTATCGGGCGGGGGCATGGTCGGAGAGCACTCGATGTAGATACTGAGCGAATTGACGTTGTTCCCCCGGGGGAAGAACTTGATGGTCCACCAATAACCACCCATGTATGCGGGCGGAGAACGCATGATCTTGACGCGGTTAGGGGCGTCTGGAGTGCCTCGCACGCCCTTGATCTTCCATGTCATGCGGGCCTTCTCCACCGGAAGGTATTCGGGATCATCCAGATCGGGGTGGAAGTTCTTCTCCCAGTAGTCATCTGATCTTGTCAGCTATCATACTTCTAGGCCAAGGCTCCGCCAGAAATTGCTTGTGTGAGCTTACACTCGTAGGCGCTGTAGTCGCCATCTGCCGCCGATTCAATTTCCTTCATTTCAGCCTCATCGGGGACCGATAGATCCTCCTCGATATCGGCCCAGTAGGCATGGTCCAGCTCCGGTTGGGGGGGCTGAATCACCGGAACGGGGTCTGCTTGCACCGGAGGCGGGATATCGACTCGAGGTGCCTCATCCTGGATCTCGACTGGGGGTGAATCCGATGAGGGGGGTTCTAAGGGAGTGCTTGTTGTGATGGGGTTTGTGGCAGATGCTGCCAAATCATCTGTAGCCGCCTCGATGGTGACAGTGGTTTCCCTGACCGACTCAGGGGCGACCTGAGTGCTGAGTGTGATGGGTGGTGGTTGTTGTTGTTGTTGCTGCTCTTGTGGCTGCTGCTCCACATTGGAACCAGAATCCGGAGAGGCATCCATTGTGGGGGTAGAAAGAAAGAAAGAAGAAAGCAGACAGACAACGAAGACGACGAACTTATCAGAGAAGACAACAATCACAGTTCAGATGAAAGGAGAGGATAGTTGCAAAACAGCAGCAAATAAGCCGACCAACGGATAGGCTGACAGAGCCGCAGGTGAGAGAGCCAATGAAGAGAGCAACACGAGTAGCCTTGACAGCCAGGCTCTGAATGCAAGTGAGAATTGATCTAGGCAAAACCACACATTCAGATGCTGCTCTGGAGGGGAAAAGAAGAAGAAGAAAAAAGAGAGAGATGAGAGTCCTCCTCACAATCAGCAAGGGAGGGTGGGGATGGAGGGGAAACAGGAACCCAAGGTGGCAGAAGAGAAAAAAAAAAAAAAAAAAATTAAAGACAAATCACACCAGAAGAGCAATAGCGAGCAATGACAAGCCAGCAGCACAAGCACGACAGCCCAACGAACAAGTAAGTTAACCAACGAAGCAATGAAAGTCTAGAAGGTCGGGCGATAAGAATAGGCAACTGGGCTTATCAACACCAGTAGACCGAGTCTAGTACTTTAGTGAGGGAAACTGGGGTAAGCCTAGGCCCAGAGCGGTAAACCCAAGGAACAATCGGCGAGGGTGGATAGAAGGGGGCCCATATAATATGAATATATATATATATATTGTATAGATCGGGCGGGAAGTGGGAGTGATAGAGAGGAAGATAAGGAAGAAGATGAGAAGTTGAGATGAGAAAGGAAGGAAAAAGAGATGGAGAGGGGAAGAAAGAAAGAAACTTCCTCGAAACGAAAGAAGAAAAGCAAAAAATATTGAGAGAAAAAAAGAAATAGAAGAATTGATGGGATTCGAAAAAAGAAAAGGAAAGCAGCATAGAAATGGGGAAAAAAGAAAGAAAAAGGATGAGGCGGCAATGCAGCCAGGACCAGATCACGGATCCTCACCGCTGGTTGGCATCCAATAATCCTCTGGCAGCTGCTGCTTGAGGGTCCGCAACCTGGACGGGGACTGGCCCAGCTTGTCCCTTCAAGTCTTGCCTTCTACCCCCCTGCAATCCACCCCCCCGATGGAACTGGAACTGGAACTTCTTTCTCGATTGCCACCCGGGTCCCATTTTCGGATCCGTCAGGTGGTGGTGGTGGTTATCGTCGTTCCAACTGCCCCCTTAGAGTATCTCTCTCCTCCCCCCCAAGTCCCAACGGATAAAAGAATTCGGGGTGGGAGAAATCCAATCTACTCCATACCAAGGAAAATGATATGATACGGCCTGCGATTCGACCGAGTGGCCGGACGGATCGACTGCGCGGGGCGTCGCATCCCTGCAGCCCAGAGAAAGACAGGAACTGACCTGTCATTAGTTCGCTTCAATCAATCAATCAATCCATCCTTCTTCGGAGCTCGTAATCTCATTAATCATTTGTATCACTCTATATCCATTATCCAAACAACAAGACAAAATCTAATCTATACCATACCTCCATACTAATCCCCCTCCATGTCAATTTTATCTTCCCCATGACAAGTCATATTCATGGCAATCGGTTTGTTGCATGGATTCCCCACCAACAAGTGGGTGGCAAGTCAAGTCGGAAGGATGAAACTTTCTTGCCATGAAAACCCCGTGCCGACCGCAATGATCGACCGGTGGAACGACCCCCGGCAATCCAACTCCATCCCAACTCTCTCCCTCCCCATGATTTGCCATCCACCATCGTTCGTCCTTCCAAACTTTGCCTCCGCCGAGGTTCCAAAGCTTGTGGGTTCCGGACTTCCGGCTCTTCAAGGAGGGCGGGCGGCTGCTCTTCTCCGTGCAGAATTCATCCCAGGGGGTGGCCCCTCTTGCGTGCTTTGTTTTGTCCTGTTCTTTTTTTGCTTTTCTTTTTTTTATTTTGAATCGGAACCAAGGCTCCGATTTGCCTCCTAACTCGAGGGGATGATGTGGGGCGCCTTTCGCGTGCCTGCCACGCCGGGGCCCGCCCCTGTCGCTGCCCCTCTGTTAACCAAACGGCCCGAGCTGTCGTGAAGGGGGGAAGCTCTCACGGTCGATAGACACAGCAGGCCTAGGACCAGTAATTAATCTTATCTCACCGAATTGATAGGAGGCATTGCGAGAGGTAGAGATACTGGCGTTTGACAGATAGCAGGAAGTACCCCTATTGGAGTGATGTACCTCGAACTCACACTCAGTTCTGAGACGGTTCACCGTTAAGGGTCGCCGGACTGGCTCGGGCAAACGAGGCCGCAACAATGAGCGGGAAGACCACTGTGGCTTCTGCATAGACCTTGACAGCCTTGGCGTCGGCTTTGATCTTACCCCAGCTGACGGCCTCATCCGGTCGGGCCCCCGCATCGCTGCCGTCAAACTCCTGCCCCGTATTGATGTACACGGCATGCTCGGCCCCGTTGCGCATCAGACAGGCGTTGGCAATGTGATGTTTAATGACACCGCCACCCAGAATGATCATGCCGGCCCGCGCGGCTCGGACAGCCATGGTGTTGATGCGGCGCACATCGTCCACAATGTCGACCCGCAGCCGTTGCGGAGACGAGCGGTAGGTGTGGAAGTAGAGCATATCGCCCAGGGAGCCGTCGGTGAGGGCGGGACAGAAGATCGGAATGTTGTTACGAGCAGCCCAGTATAGAACCGAGTCCTCGTGGTTGATCTCGCGGCCGAGGCGTTCAATGATCTTGCTGGGGGTCCAATGCAATTCGTCCTCCTCATCGCCAGTCTCCAGTGCCTTCTTCTTGGCAGCCTCCTGTTCCTCCAGCATCTTATCTAGGATGGGGATCAACCAGTCTTCGAATGCACAGTAGTTGCTGTTCGGGACGATGAGGTTGCCGATCCGGTTCAGTCCTTTGGCCCGCAGTCCAGCGCCTGGGGCAGTAAACGAGCCCATGTAGGTGGGAGCCAGGCATTTGATAAGATCTTCCTCGACACCGCCGGCCGTGGTGACAATAGCGGAGACGTGACGGTTGCGGACCAGGTAGCGGATGGTGTCTCGAAGGCCGGAGGAGATCAGGTTGGAGGTGTATCCGAGGAAGATGGTGGTTTTCTCGCCAGTCTCCGGATGACGGTAGGCTTGCTAGGTAGACGTATCAATTCACGGAATTAGCTACACTGCTAGGTCATTCAATGGCCGGGGAGAAGACAGGATGCGAACCATCTCGTTGACGATACGGGCGGCTTCAGCGACCGCACTGCCCTGGAACCCGGTGTATTTCATGTTGTCGACCATCTCGGCGACCGTGATATCCCGGCCTTGGAAACGGTCAAAGTCGACGCCGCTGACCTGCTGCGTCCCCTCAGGCACGGGCTCCGAGGCCACCAACACGGCATCGGTGACTGCAGAGGGAGGGGCATTGCCCGCGGCGGAGTCTTGTGCGGACATGGCTGTTGAGCAGAAAAGAAAATATAAACCACAATGCTGAAGTAATCAATAGCGTGAAGAGATGCCAAGTCTATCAGCCAAGCGGGGACCAGATTGATATAGGCGAGGAGTAAACCCGGGGCGCTCAAATGCGGGATGAATTGGATGATACTAATCCCCTCCGTCTTTTCTGGAAATTTTTCTGCAGGCGGCGGGATTGGCGGGGGTGTGACAGCCCGTTCGTGACACCCGCCATACTGATGCCCCAGGCACTCAGGCAGTCAGGCAGTAAGCTAGACCGAGCCATCGCCGGGAAATTCCCAGCGATCCTCCGTACACCAACTCGACACCTTTAAGCTAGTAAAGTATTGCCTGAGGCATGAACATCTAGGTTAGTCATCATTGATGGGGCCTTCCCGACAGGGCAAGAGATCCTCGCCTGAGGCATGCACGCCGGGGGAGGCGATCCAGAGTTATTTTTGAGTTCCCTTTAACTAGTCACACTAAGACCAGTCAGTCGTGGCCGAGGGAAAGTCCCTGGCCAACTAAACTCAGCCCATCCAACCATCCAACCGCTGCCCTTCACCAGGGATCCATCCATCGTCTCTGCCCCATTTCTCGTTCCTCCGTTTTTGTCTTTCAAGATCCTCTGCCTTCAAACCACCACCAAACTAACTCACTCACTCCCCCTCTCCCCCATTCTTCTCTTTCTCACCTTCAAATCGAAACATCCTCCCTTCACGTGCACATCATATACACACACTCACTCTTTTTTCTTCATCTCGACTCTCTTTGTATTATTCGAGTTAACAACTCGCGTCCCTACTTTATTCCCCCTCAGGCTGGTCCTCGACGTTTCTATTCGGCTCCGACTTCCGAGACACAGCAACGAACGGGTCTCGAATAATCCCAGAAGCAGATTTTCCCGTAACTGCTTGCAATTTGCGATTTTGCTGCCCGGCGTGGTCTCCTTGCAGGTCTACTTTGGGTTCACGGCTTGACACGTTGCTTAGGCTCCCAGGTGCGGAGATTTCTCCTTTAATTTCGCTATTTTGTTTTTCGCGCTTTCCAGTTTGATGCCCAGTTTTGGTTTTTACGTCTGTCATTACTACCCTCCCTCCTTTACTTGCGTTGGTCGTGGGCTGGGCTGGGCTAGTCGTCCGTGGGTGCAGGATCGTGCTTCACTTTTTGTCACCAGTCACTTTGTCCCGGAGACACGGGATCGGCCAGCATCGAACTTTCGGCGGCACGCCTCCTTCAATCCCCATTCCAAACACAAATGTCAAACCCTAGGAGAAAGGGCCCTGCTCCTCCTATTTTCTCTCTGGCGGACTGGGGTCAAATCCACCATGATCATGAACAGGTTCTGATCCTGTGACTTCCCTCGGACGATCGATCCACCTTGAAAAAAGCTCCCACAGGCGCTGGCAGTTCCGGGTGAAACAGGCCGCGCCAAGTGGCTGGCGCTAAGGTGATGGAATCCGTCAATCATGGCTGCAATCTTGCTTCAGTGCCAAATTGGGATCCGCAGTCCGATTTGGGCGCCACTCATTGGCTGCTTAGCTAAGCTTTGCCTGCCTGGCTGCCTGGCCCGTGCCCCTTCCATGCTTCCCTGCCGTCACGTGCTCTCCACTCCCCGTTCGCCGCCTTAGGCGCTTCTGACTGGCGCTGCTGCTGCGGCCGGCGGCTGTCTCGTCTCGTCTTGTCTTGCCTCTGCTAGGACCGCTCCGTCCCTTTGCTGGCGATTCTTCCCTGCCTACCATTCATTGCGCTCATTGTGTGACCTTTTCCCTTGGTTTTTTCTTTTCTTTTTTTCTATGTCTTTCTACTTCTCTTTTTATAATATTCACATCTACTTACCATTCACATCACCATCACGATCTCTTATCTCAAATTACCTTGCAACTAACCTGTGGCAGGCTCCCCTGCCAGGTTACTTTAGCTCACGCTCACTAGCATGACCTGGTGATGTCGTCCAGATACCCTCCATTGTCTGGGTTCAATTCCCGTGATCGTTCGCCCCAACGCTTCGGTGACCGTCGACCCCCTGTTGGCCCCCGTGGCACTGATGATGCGAATTTACCCCCGCTGGGCAGAGAACCCCCCCGGGGTCCCAAAGCCTTGATCGATCCCCCGCGAGGAGCCCCATTTGGTGGGCGTGGCAGAGGTTATCCGGGCCGTGGAGATTTTCGGGACCGGGACCGCGACGTACGAGATCGAGATCGCGAGCGTGATCGCGACTTTCGAGATATTCGGGATGGACCACCGCCCTTTCGCCGAGATCTCGACCGGGACCGAGACTGGGGCCGCCGTGACCGCGACTTCGATCCCCGTGAGTCGCGTATCGGCTTTGGCCGTGGCCGCTCGCGCTCCCCGCCGCCTCCCCGCGACTTTCGCGATATGAGAGAACCCCTCGGACGAGATGCAGATATGATTCGAATGCGACGGGGCTCCCGAGACAGCATGATCTCGGTATCATCCGCAGTGCCGGATGTCCCGTCCAGTGGCGGTCATCATCCCCGCAGTGGCCCGCCCATGCGTGGACGGGGCCGAGGTGAATGGGACTCGGGACGTGGTCGTGGCCGAATGCCGTACCTGGACGATCGAGACTCCTTCAGACGCCGAAGTCGATCACGAGACGCCCGCTGGGACCGGGAGCGCGAACGCGAGAGGGACCGCGACCGGGAAAGGGATCGGGAGCGTGAACGAGACCGGATCTTAGATCGCGAGCGGGACCGTGATCGTGATCGGGACCGCGACCGGGTGATCCTCGATCGTGATCGCGATCCTGAGCGGCGCGAGCGCGACAGGGAACGGGAGCTCGAACGACGGGAAAGGTTCGAACGGCGGGAGGAGGTGGACCGTCGGGTTGAACGCGATGACCGTGACCGACCCGGCGACCATTGGAAGCGCGATCGTCCTCCCAGTCGCGCCGAGAATCGAATTCCGAGCAGCTCAACAGTGTCGTCGGTGACTGGGCCAACTGTCCTCCCGGTTCCCGGTCTGCCTGAACGGCTTCCAGACCATCCACCCGCAGAGCCCCCTCGTAAGCCCTCAGGAGGAGAGGCACGTCGTGATTCGCAACGCATGGACCGCATTGAACGTATTGAACGCATCGAGCGCATCGAACCACCGGCGCCTCTCCCGGAGCAGCCAGCGAAAGACTTAGTTCCTCCTCCCGTGAAACGATCCCCGCCCCCCGCTGCTCCCCAGGTGCCAGCATTCGGTTCCGTCACCGCGCCCCTTCCCGAAATTTCTGCCGAGAAGCCCGAGAAGCCTGAGAAGCAGGACAAGCAGGACAAGTCGGAGAAGCCAGAGAAGCCAGAAAAGCTTGAGAAGCCTGACAAGGTCGAGAAATCCGAAAAACTGGAGAAACCCCCGGTAGATTCGACATCAACAGCCGCCGCAGCAGCTACGAAGTCGGAGAAGGAACGACATGAGCTTCCGCCAAAAGCACCAATGCACCCACCGACCGCGCCCAAAGCGGAGCGAGGTCCTCCCCAACAGCCGCTGGAGCAAAGGGTTCGACGCGATGATACGCGCCGTGAAGAAACGCCTGATATCCCGCCGAAGCCTGAGCCGGCTACCCGTCCCCCGAAGCCGCATGTCCCAGCAGCAGCCGGCGGGCCGAAGCCGACAGATATCTCACCTCCTACTGCTCCCGCGGCGATGGTTCAGAAAGATGCACCAGGCGCTCACGAAACACCGTCTCCAAGAAAGCTAGGGCCCACAATAACCTCCCCAGAACTTGGACGGAGGCCATCGGCCGCAGGGTCAGCCACTTCCCCGGTTCCGCACACTTCACCTCGGATGCCTACATCGAGTATTCCTACCGGACCCCGTGCGCTTCAGCAACGCCCGTCAATCTCTCGTGGCTCCTCGAAAGCTATGAAACAATGGGTGCGTGCGGGATTCCCCGGCGCACCCTCTGGTCCAAGTGCTGCACCATCATCAAAGCGCGATTCCATCGATGGAAAAGAGCGAAGTCTGTCTCTTAGTGAAGACCACAAGCTCGAGTCGCACAGCCAGGCCGATGAGTCTGTCAACGGACTCGAGGCGGGTGAGATTGTCGGCGAAGATGAACCGGTAGAATCAAAGCCCCCAAAGCCCGCGGTGTCGTTTGAGTCGGCCATGGATGTGGATATGCCCGAAATTGTCGCGAAAACACCAGCTGCTGAAGAGAAGCCTGCGGAGAAGGAAGTGCCCAAGGAGGCGCCCAGTGAGGCACCGAAGGAAGCACCGAAGGAAGCACCTAAAGAAGAATTGCAGGAAGCACCCAAAGAGGCACCCAAGGATCAGAGCACCGTCGTCATACCGGATTTTGGACGTTCAAGCGATGAAGAAGAGGACGAGAATGTTGTGTTTACACAAGACTATCTAGAAGAACGGAAGCGGATTTTCGAAAAGGATATGAATGCTCTCCGTGCCGAGCTGCCGCCCCCACCATTGGAAGACCCCAATATCGTGGCGCTACTTATGCGCATCCAGTATTTGGGGATTATTGCCCATGACCAGGTTCCTGAAAAGGCATCCACACCTCCAGTGTTAGCTAAGGATACCAAGATAGCCAAGGAGGAACCATCGGCACCCGAGATGGAAAGTGAGCCGAATGGCAAGGCTGAAGAACACGAGCCACCAGCAAAGGTGGTTTTGGATTCTGTTCCTGCGGCCGATGCACTTACTCTCGAGAGTCTGCCGTTTTTGAACTCTGGCCCACCCACACCGTTATCGGACTTGGAGGTTTACCAGGAGAATGCGGCCACTCATGAACGGCTGAAGGACACCTTCCGCGACATCATCATGAAACGTCGCAAGGACGTGGCGCGGAAGAATGCCGAGTTGAGATTGGATTACCTTTCCTACTACAAGCCTTGGAGGCTGAATGTGTGGGAGTTGGACCATGCGAAGGAAAAGACTTCGGGTAGTCCCGGGCCCACAACACCACCTGCTGCCCCAGCCACGGCGACGCCTACACCTACGGTGGAAAGCGGAAGACGGTACAAGGGCAATAGCGAACTGGACTTCCAAAATGCCCTGCGCGCCTCTGAGATTTCTGCCCAAGAAGAACTGGAGAGGCGTCGCGGCAACAAGGCTACTGCGCAGCCGGACCTCGCCCGCGAGGCTGTGATTCCTGAGATGCTTGAGCCCCCAGAGGTGAAGGCAGGCATCTACAAAGACACCAACAACATCATTGACCCAGATCAGGCCATGGATGTCTTTGGGTTCCTGCCGCCTCGGAATGATTTCAGCAAAGAAGAGCACGAGATCTTTACCGACGCGTTCATGGCACATCCGAAGAAATGGGGCAAGATTGCAGAATCGCTTCCAGGACGGGACTTCCAGCAGTGTATCATCCACTACTACTTGACCAAAGAAGAGATCAAGTACAAGGCCAAACTCAACAAACGGTGGAGTCGTCGTGGGCGTGCCCGGCGATCTGCTCGACCCAAGTCCAATGCGCTTATGGCTGACCTGGGTGTTGTCAAACCGGACTATGAAGGCGAAGAGGAGCCCGCTCCAGTCACCGATACGGGCCGCCCTCGACGTGCCGCTGCCCCAACGTTCGGAGACTCGTCTGCCGATACGGACAACAACGGCCGCCGTGGGAATGCCTCCAAGGATGGCGAGCAAGCAGAGAAGCCCAGTCGACGTGGACCTCGAAGCGGTACAGGCACGCGAGGTGGCCGACGAGGGAAGGCTGCCCAACAGCAAGCGCAGCAGCAGCAGCAGCAGCAGCAGCAACAACAACAACAACAACAATTGCAGCAACAGCAGCAGCAACAGCAGCAGCAACAGCAAACACCACAGCCCACCCCCTCTGAGCAATCTCTCCAGAGCACGCCTGTTCCAGTGGCTGCCGCTGCCGTCACTCCTGCACCAAAGGTGGAGACTACGGAGCCATCCATGGATGGAGCCACCGAAGCCCCGATCGTGCGGCCCAAGGAGCCGCAAGAGCGAGAGGTTAACGATGTGCCACCGCGCGCCAGGTCTGGTCGGGGACGTCCGAAGGAGGGCGTGTATGTCTTCGAATCCACTGAACAGGAGGCTCCAGCACCTGCCCGGCAGCCCGAGGTAGGCGGCTACGGGTCTCTGCAGCCGACGAGTTACTGGTCGGTGCCTGAACAGCGCGATTTTCCTTTGCTGCTGGCGCACTTTGGTCGTGACTTTGAGGGTATATCCAACTTCATGAAGACGAAAACCACAGTCATGGTATGTTCTTCCCCTTCCTCACGCCCGCACCTTCCTGAATCATCTAGGCTATCAGCAACTAACTTTCAAGTAGGTCAAGAATTACTTTCAGCGCCGCATTGACTCGGGCCAGAAAGATTTCGAAGATATCGTTGCCGATGCAGAGGGCAAGAAAGCTCGTGGTGAGCCTACAGGTCCATTGCCCGTTCCTAACTTCGCCTCTAAGCGGCGTTATGAAGCTACACCATCTTCTATCATTATGCCTCGGCCTCTCGCCCCGCACACTGATACTGCGCCGGATACAGATGATAGCCGTTTGGGATCCAAGGGCAAACCCGCCAGTTCAACCCCCCAGCAGGCGCCTCTGCAGGCTCGCGCAGGCCAAGAGAAAGAGCGAAATGTCTCGAGATACCCACCGCTTGCGCAAGCCGCTAGTGCTCCAATGGCAAGCGGCCCCATGCTTAGTGAGGATCCTGCTCGGGTCATGAGCTCTCAGGCACCCTTGCCATCGCGAATGCAGGGACCCCGACTGGGGTATTTTGCCGAAGAACGACGAGAAGTCCCAGCAACCGTGCGAGCTGCCACACGGCCCCAGGAAGCCCCCATGTCCGTGCGACAAACTCCGGTTTCCGCATCCGAGATGGCGCGGCTGGAACCTCTCCATGGCCAAGGGTTCC